TTCAATTGGTCTCTCGCAATTCTTTGATTCTTTCGAAGCAACACACTAGCATCATATAGTGTTGGAGAGGGCTTGCAGTCACTATAGCCAAAGCGACTCAAGATATTTTCCACATAGTGAGATTGAAGCAATGTAATCCCACCATCATCGTCTCTCAACAACTTGATGTTCACAATGACATCAGCCACTCCTAAATCCTTCATCTCAAAACAACGAGATAGGAAATCCTTGACCTCCTTAATAACATTCAGATTGGTTCCGAAAATCAGTATGTCATCAACATACAAGCACAGGATAACTCCCTCGCCCCCACCATGGCGATAGTACACACATTTGTCAGCTTCGTTCACAACAAAGCCTGCAGCTGTTAAAGTTCTTTCAAACTTCTCATGCCACTGTTTGGGTGCTTGCTTAAGTCCGTACAAAGACTTCAACAACTTGCACACTTTCCCTTCCTGGCCATCTAGTACAAACCCATCTGGTTGTTCCATATATATTTCCTCGTTCAACTCTCCATTTAGGAAAGTAGTCTTAACATCCATTTGATGAATGAGAAGACCATGCGAGGCAGCTAGTGAAAGTAGAACTCGAATAGTGGTCAGTCGAGCTACAGGTGAGTAAGTATCAAAGAAGTCTTCACCTTCCTTTTGGGTATAACCCTTAGCCACGAGCCGAGCCTTGTACTTTTCAATAGTACCATCAGGCCTAAGCTTCTTCTTGAATACCCATTTGCATCCTATAGGTTTGCACCCATAAGGACGATCAGTTATCTCCCAAGTTTCATTTGCCAAGATGGAATCCATCTCGCTACGAACCGCTTCCTTCCAGTAGTCAGCATCTTCAGATGCATAGGCCTCTAAAATAGAACTGGGAGTGTCATCTATGAGGTACACAAAAAAATCATCACCAAAGGACTTTGCAGTCCTCCGTCTCTTGCTCCTAATAGGAACTTCATTGTTCTCCTCCACAGAACTTTCAAAGTGTTTCATCGAAATTGTAGGTTCGGTAATTGTAACTGGTTCCTGATTCGATGAACTAGGCATATCCTGATTAGATGAGGTAGCCATATCCTTCATGGGAAAGCTATTTTCAAAGAAAGTCGCATCATTCGACTCCATGATCGTACCGACATGCATGTCAGGTACCTCAGATTTTACAACCAAGAATCTATAGCCAATGCTATGAAAAGCATATCCCAGGAAAACACAATCCACAGTCTTTGGTCCAAGCTTCCGCTTCTTTGGAATTGGAGCATTGACTTTCGCCAAACAACCCCATGTTCGCAGATAAGAGAGTTTTAACCTTTTCTTCTCCCATTCCTCGAATGGAGTTATCTCTTTGTTCTTTGTGGGGACTCGGTTCAGGACATGACATGATGTCAATATCGCCTCCCCCACCCTGCCTTGGAGAGACCCAATGTTTCTAACATGGCGTTAACCAAATCAGTTAGAGTACGATTCTTTCTTTCGGCCACCCCATTTGACTGAGGTGAGTAGGGAGGAGTCCTCTCATGGATTATACCATGTTCCGCACAAAAAGCATCAAACACATTGGAAAAATACTCTCCACCACGGTCGGACCTAAGCCTCTTGATTGTTCGATCAAGTTGGTTTTCCACTTCAGCTTTATAGATCTTGAAAAAGTTCAAAGTCTCATCCTTATATTTCAGAAGATACACACGGCAGTATCTAGTGGAGTCATCAATTAACGCCATGAAATATTTCTTTCCATCTTTTGTCAATATACCATTCATTTCACATAGATCTGAATGTATGAGCTCTAGTGGTGCAAGATTTCTTATTTCCGCAGTCGTGTGAGACTTACGAGGTTGCTTAGCTTGCACACACACTTGACACTTAGATCCCTTGATGGTGGTGAAACTAGGGATTAAGTTCAACTTCGCTAGTCGTGACATGCAACCAAAGTTAACATGACAAAGACGTGAATGCCACACATTGGATTCACTATTGTTGCAAATATGATTAACAACTTTATTGCAAATGTCTGATAAGGATAAACGAAACAAGCCTCCTGACTCATATCCTTTACCAACAAAGGTTCCATACTTGGATATTACAAATTTATTCGACTCAAAGATAAGCTTGTAGCCATCTCTACACAGAAGAGATCCGCTAACAAGATTTTTATTGACGGAGGGGACATAATGCACGTTCTTCAGCCGCACGATCTTCCCCGAAGTAAACTTCACATCGACCGTGCCAACACCACGAACAGAAGCACTTGAACCATTGCCCATCAGCACGGTTGAAGTCCCTACGGTCTGATAAGACGAAAACATGGAAATATCACCGCATACATGCACATTAGCACCCGTGTCAATCAACCAGTCAGGAGAATGACATACTGAAAGAATAGTGGGAAATATACCATACCCAGCATCCTTCATGTCAGTGTCTCCAATGACAACATTAGCGGTCTTGTCGCCTTTCCCAGGATGACGCTTGTCATAGCGATTAGGGCAACTAGGAGCCCAATGATCAGGATCCCCACACACATGACAAGCACCTTTCTTCTTGCCATTCTTCTTCTTGAAATTTGTGTGTTGCACAGCCTTGTTCTTCCCATCAAACTTTGCTTTTCCATCAAACTTGCCCTTGTTCTTGAACTTGTGGGGCTGGAAGTTCTACTTCAGTACCACATTGGCACTAGATCCTCCCTCAATACCTCGAGCACGTGTGTCCTTTGCTCTCGCCTTTTCTTCCACATCAAGAGTGCCAATGAGATCCGGGACGGAAAACTCCTGCCTCTTATGCTTCAGCAAGGTAGCAAAGTTCCTCCATGAAGGAGGAAGCTTAGTGATGATACCTCCGGCAACAAACTTGTCCGGTAGCATACAACTGAAGTGATCAAGTTCTCTAGTAAATGACTGTATCTCATGAGCTTGCTCAACCATGGAGCGCTCTTCAGTCATCCTGTAATCATAGAATTGCTCCATGATGTACAGCTCAGTGCCAGCATCTGAGACCCCAAACTTGGCCTCGAGTGCATCCCACATATATTTTCCATTATCAATTGACGCATAAGCATCAACTATGTTCTCACCAAGAACACTCAAGAGAGCAGCCTTAAACAGAGTATCCATTTTCTGAAGAGCTTGTGCCTGTTGAGCATCAAACTCTCCTTCAGGTTTGCCGAGAGTGGCGTCATAGCAACTCATGGTTTGAAACCATAAGACTGCTCTCACGCGCCACCTCTTATAGTGGATACCCTCAAATATAGGAGGTCTCATGGAAGCAGCAAAACCACTTGGGGTAAATTGCCTATAATAAGGTTTTTGGATTGTTGGAAATATGAGCAATTTACCAAATAATTTTTTAACAGAAATACTAGATAACGCATGACTAATATAGTAGAGATAAAACAAGTCAAGCGTTCTAATAGAGAGAAGGTAAATAGCTTCTGCATATATGAACCGTAGCCTATCATATCTAAAGCAGACAGTATAGCAAGTAGCATATATGAAGTAGAACATATTATGTGTAGGACAAGGACTAGAACAAGGAACTGCGGTAGAACCTTTAACAGGAAAGACAAGAACACGTACGGGACAGCAGCAGCAGAAGCGCTGGACTTGGGGTCGGTGTCCTCGCCTACCATGTCGTCGAGGAGGTCGTGGACATCGGGGAAGAAGTCGTCGTCGGCGACCGGATCGTCCGTGATGAAGCAGCCAGTAGTCGCGCTGAGCGCTCCCCAAAAACCTTATCACCCTTCTCCCGTACAGGACTCAAAAAGTGCGGTTTCGGAGGCCTACTGTCTCGACCTGCGGTGCATGCCGCAAGTCGGGATGGGGAAGAACGTAGCAGCAACGTAGTGGTCGGAACTTTGTGGCGAGAGGAAGAGGATCTTATGTTGTGTCTCTCTGGAGAGGAGCGACCTCTCTTATATAGGCACAGGAGAAGGACGCGAAGAGGCTGCCGCAGGAGGTGAAGCAACGAAAGGAGACGAAGCGAACAGGGAGCGGCCGAAGAGGCGCGCCGTTCGAATTCAGTGTCCACTACAGAAAACGTTTCAACTCCCACATGACCTTTCATGGCGTGGTGTGGCGTGGCGTGGCGTGGCGTGGCGAGGCGGGCGGCGGAGGAGGAGCGCGCGTGGATATCCCTCTTGTTCTCATGCTCGTACAAGTGGGGAAAGAACCTCCGTTATAAGGAGGTCCAACTCCCACTAAACTAACAATGTGAGACTAAACTTTAGTAGTATCCCTTGCCTTGCACAAATGGGCTAAGTGGACCTTTAGGATTTATTAGGAATTTCTGACATAGTTATTGGGCTGCCCAAAATAGACTAAATTCCAGCACTAACTGGGGCAAAAGGCGCAAATTTGATCCGAAAGCGAAACTATTTCATAAACTAAACTGTGTTTTAAAACATTTCATCCAGTTGTGTGCAATGTCTGACAGCAAGGCGATGCACTCTAACATTTAGACGCCATACATGTATAACGTCTAGCTGTAAGGAATTGCACTATACTGTGCAGCGTCTAGTTGTAAGGAGTTGCATAGTAGAGTGCAGCGCTTAGCTGTCGGGCTCTGCACAAAAAAATTAACGGTGTGAACTTTTTTCGAAAACAGTTTAGTCTTGAGGTCAAATTTGTTACTGGAGCCTATTTCATTACCCTCCACCCCCAATCGCCAATGGTCGAAAAAATCGATTCCAAGAGTCATGCCCATGACTCCATGAGTGTAGTTGGTGATCTGGATCATGAGGACCAACGTGTTGGTTGGTGGAGTGATGAGTTGACGAATGGCAACGGCAACGGGGCCAGCAGGGTACGTTCACAGGAGATCTCGGCGGTGGCAGGTCACGTTGCCGTGCACTCGAGTGCACACCGTAACGACCCGACATTCTCCACCGTCACGTGAAGTCCTGCCTAGATCACGGACGCAAAGAAACGAAAAGAAACAAGAAAAAGTCACGCACGGTCACTGCTAAAGCCACCTCCATTCGTACACACGGCCATATAAACCTCAGCCTTCCTTATGCCACCGCTCTCCTCCTTTCTCTCTCTCTCTCTCTACTCTTGTCTGATGGAGTGCAAGGCGGCGAGCGAGTCGCCCTCGTCGGCCCCCTCTTCTTCCATGGACAGCTGCGGCGCCGGCGGGCCGCGGGCGACAGTCTCCACGGCGTCGTCCTGCTACCGGCCGGCGATCGGCAGGGGCCTAAGCACGGACCTTCACCTCGGGCTCAGCCTGCGGTCATGCTCCTCCTCCTTCCACACGGCCGACGGCGTCTCCGCTTCCACTCCAAGGTCTCTCTACAGACTCGTAATTTTATCTAAAAATTTAACCTTCTTGTTCATCATTTGCATCGGTCGGTCTCTGGCTCCTCTCTGCACATCAACCGATGCATCGATCAACCCGTTTCTTAGGAGCACCCTGACGACGACGACGACGATGAGGCCAACGGCGCCGTCGTCTGATCCGGCGCACCAGAGAGGAGGAGGCGGCGGCGGCCATGGGCAGCGGTCGCTGTTTGTGAAGGTGTACATGGAGGGCGTCCCCATCGGCCGGAAGCTGGATCTGCTGCTGCTGGACGGCTACGACAGACTCCTCGCCGTCCTAGGCCGCATGTTCAAGGCCTCCATCATACGTACGTACGCGCCTAATAACATTCATATAAATCACCACAACAAAATTTAACTGTCCGTCCATCGATCATGTACTACTTCTTCTCTGATATTCAGTTTGTTTTTCAATCTAGATCCGGATACTGTCGGCCGTGATCACCGAGTGGTTCTTGGGGAGAAGCAGGCTCGCCATGTTGTCACTTATCAAGACCAGGAGGGGGACTGGTTGATGGCCGGGGACGTACCGTGGGAGTATGGCTCCACTCTGAATTTCAGACATATCACTTCTTCCATCTTACAATAATTCCACAGAATTGAGTTTGAACTATCGACCAATGATGCAAAACGTGTGGATGATGCTTCAGGGAATCAGATTAAATTGCGCTCTACATCTTTGTCGAACTTATTTCTAGAGGATCTTTGTGGAGATCTTAAATAATTATTTTCCTTCAATAATTCTTTGGGCAGGCTATTCCTGGCGGGTGTGAAGAAATTGAAGATTGCAAGGGTGGACAGTAGCACCTCTGATTGATTCAACGAGGGCGACTCATGTGGCCTCCATTCCTGGGTGTGCTTGGATTTCATTAATTCATTTATGGGGGATTAAGATGAGATGGTTATTTCTTGGTGAAGTCGGCTGCTTCATAGTGTACAGTCTGCAAAAGTGTGGGACATATTCCTGAAAAAAAAGGAGCAACACATATATAATACCTTTTTCTAAAACTATTTCGCTTCAAATTTGATCGTTTATTTTCTCCTCTATGGCTGACACTATGAATATAGATCAAGTACCGGGCTTGCTAAAACTCAGTCAACTGGGATTTAACCAAGTCTTAGTCGACTGCATAGTCATTAGACATTTGCGTAGAGATTCATGCTGGACTGAGCACCGTCCAACAAACCCCGCAACATTTTGTCCCACCGTTTGCAATATATCCTTCTACCGGTTGCAGCATCTATCTTGCTGGTTGTAGTATATCGTCTCACCGGGCACAACATTTGCCCTCGTCAATTGTAGCACGTCGTCCCGCCAGTCGCACCATCCGCCATTGATGGTTGCAGCATTTAGTCACAACAAATGTAGCGTCTGTTGTCATTGCTCGCAACATTTTTCGTCACTAATTGTAGCATCTAGACATGCCACTCTTAACACCACAACTGATGTCACTCGACTGAGACTTTGTTAAGTCGACTTTGTTAAGTCTCAGTCGACTGAGTTCTAGCCACACCCATCAAGTATGCACCATAGGGAAGGAAAAAACTGACCCCCCCCCCCCAATCAGCCTAATATGAGTCAATTTGCACACAAAATTAGGAAAAGTGATACACATAACCCTTGTAGTGGTCGTTTACGTTGTATCCCACAATTTTTTTGTATTTTTTTTTTGAAATCTTCAAGATGCCTCAACTGGCATACAAGTGTGCCACTAGGCGAGCTCCCCTCTTATAATCCGCTGCAATTGTATTAAAATCCTATTATAATACATCATTTTCTTTGTTTAACAAATTTTGCAAAAAAAAAGACCGCAACATTCCAAAAAAGCGGAAGCAACATATTTGTGCATACGCAATGAATCACTGTTTGATATAATAAAATCATGATAAAATGTTGCAACATAGATAGTTTAAGTAAAGAATATATTTCTATTTTTTGTAAGTGAAATAAAGATTTTTTGTTTTCAGAACATAAAGAGTTCAGGCGGAAAAGATTTAAAAGAATTTGTTACAAACAAAGACCCAAAAACATTGCGCACACACACCAATTTCCGTCTCGTACCGCAGTAGATAAAAACAGCGGGTGTAAAAGCATAACTCAAACACCCATTGATTTCTCTCCAATACCCAAGCATGTCCTCACTATCCTCGACCTTGTAGCTGACGTAACTGGCCAAATCTAACCCATCGGTGTTACATAGGACTCCAATACGAGATCAATGTTGCTTTTATCATGACCTCAACTCTAGGCCTGGTGTTAGCGTCTGATGTAGCTCCACTGCTAGATATGCAATGCATCATGGGCACAATAAGGTCTAGAGAAAGGAGCCTTGGCCTAAATAGAAGAGATGTCCCTAGAGAGAAAATGCAGGTGTAGAAGACTGTGTCGTGTAGGTTGGAGACGGTTATTAGAGTGCGACACTTGGATCGGAAGAAGGAACGAGAGAGCAATTGATCGAACATATTAACACCACGCGTGGCGCGAGCAATACAGAGAAGTGCATCATTACACAACAAAAAAAACATTATGTATATTTTTGCCGGAAATGTTCCATCTTTTTTTAGAATCATCGTCTACTTTTTATTGCATAATATTTCGAGGGATACGGGTAATAGATGACGGAGGCGTAAGCCAAACATGGCGGCTTGCCTCCAAAGACGAAGCTGCTTTAACTAAGTTGTGAGCTTTCATATTACAACTTCTTTTCTCATGCGATAATTGTGCATTAGCAAACATTCTCTGCTTGAGCACGAACTCCTTCACGATGGGTCCATAGCTGCATGGGTTCTCCTCCTTGATGTTTTGCACCACCTCCAGATAATCAGTGGTCACCTGTACATGTGAGACATTGAGGTCGAAAGCTAGGGACAATGCTTCATTGCAAGACACCGCTTCCAAACTCGCTGGATCAGTAAGCCCATCAACAACAATCGTTGATGCCCCAAGGAAAATTTCATTAGCTCTCTGCAAATCGCACTAGCTGCACCACGGTCTCCTGCCCAGGATAAACCACCATCCACGTTGATCTTAGCATAACATGCGGTCGGTGCTATCCAGACCCCTGGCTGAGTTGGCCGCGCAATTGCCCGATGACCTAATTCGCCTGCCATTCAAAGATCATCAAGGAATTTTGAATGAAGAGAAAAGTGCCCACAAAGCTACCATTACCTTCATTGCTTCCATGCGTGGCAGTTGATCAAGCATATCAAAGAGCCATAGCTTTAGGTCAGGTTGTTTGCTTGTAGCAACATAATCAACAATGTCTTCATCAAGGAGTGCCCAGACCCCCTTGGCTCCACGAGTCCGGCATCGCGCCACACACTTTGTAAACATCTGAATCTGCCATATTTTGGCTTTTTCTAACATCCTCCGTTGGCAGCGACACTCGTGCTAGCCGCCAAATGAATACGTTCACTTTTGTAGGAACCTCTATGTTCCAGAGTTTGGTCCATGTTTCTCGTAGGTTTTTCACATCCGAGCATGCTTTTTTATTTTCTACTTTCTAGCCAATCCTCCCGCTGCTTTTTTTATCAACCAACAGCTTGTAGGCAAAAATGTTG